TACAAAAATAAATAAATAAATACTACTAAAAATAAATAAAATCTTACAAAATATTCAATAAAAATGAAATAACCAAAATTTTAACCACTAACACATAATTAAATTTTAATACAAATTAACAATCCATTCAGACTACATTTAAATGTACAAAAAGAGATGTCATTATAGAAAGAATAATATGCATGCTTCAGCAGTTTCTTCAAATAAAAATTATAAAACACTAGGGGGGGGGAACCTCCAGTGTGCCTAATGCCAGACCAATCCCCACAGTATAAATTATACAACTGTTCATACCAACTGCTCAAATTGTAAAAACTGTAATTTACATGTATTATGTAGTTCAATTTGCAATACATCAAAACATTTAACTATTTTTGCACCTTCATGCAAAGTCTCTTCATCATCATAAAATAAATTTATTACAGCAATAAAAGAAATTTCAATCTTCAGTAAATTCACTTCAGAATTAACAAAACATTAAAATTAAACTAAAAGATTACATTAAAATCCATCAACTAAGTGGTTAATACACAACTTTGTTATAAGTTTTATCAAATGAACACACCCACACACACAAAGCATGAATTTTAAATATAATGATGAGACTTTAACAGTTAATAAAAGTATAAAATAGTATAGTAATAATAGAGTATAAAATCATAAATATAATTATAAACAAACTTAATACATACATATTTACCAAATATTCTAGCTGCAGCATATAAATATTACATGCAGGAATGTATTGAAATCTGATTTCATTACATGTATTTTATTTTAAAATACATAAAAACATTCTGGAATATAATAATTTAACATGTTTATTTCATAAGGAAATATCAAAAATTACTTCATTAAATAATTACATTTGATACATAGTTTATACAGTCAGGTCTCGTTTTATGCGGTAGATATGTTCTACCGAAAAATGCATATAAAAAAATCGCATTAAAAAAGACATTAATTAAATGGAAAAAGTAGGGATACATTCCGTAGTTTTCTAAAATCGCATAAAACCAAAACAACTAGTTAAAATTAACTTAAAACCGCATAAAAAAAATTGCTGAAATGAAAAGAAATAGGCTGCATGATTAATTAGTTCGAATGTCTGAAAGAAATTCATACAAAAGCTAAAAAAAAAAACTTCTATTCAAACCTTAATTCATTTTATTTTATGGAAAAGTAATACACATAGTTTTACATTTTTATTCATTATCGCTATCTGATAATGGTTTGCACCGTTTGCGAAGTGATTCCAAATCACCTTAATCATCAGAAGAGACTATCTCTGCAATATATATTTGCGGTAAAGGCCACGGATTTTCACAAACTTCATTCTCGTTCTGTGTAGCTCTTCCTTTTCTGACAATGTAATCAGTAATTAAACTTTGCGACGAGGATTCTTTTATTTTTTTATATAGTTCACGATATCCAGACATGCAGTTCTGCAGCTCACGTTGTAATTTAGAGGCTCGTTCAGAATTGGGGTCATTAAAAAGAAAATGATTTTCTAATTTACTGCAAAGTTGAAGACCTTCTTGAATTAATTTTCCAGTGAGGGGAGTTGATTTTTCTTCCTCATCATTATCCCCTTCTAGACCTACGACGCCGTCTACAGTTATATAGATCTAAAGTTAAATCAATAATATCATTGTCACTTAATGCATCATCCACAAGCAATTCATCTATATCATCGTGGCTGAAGGTATTAAAACCATCTCCTCCAATTTCATGTGCCAAATTAATTATTTCATCTGATAGTGTCAATGTTTGAATGGTTGTATTGTCTGTCACACATGCTGGCCAAATCTTTTTCCAACAGGCATTTAAAGTACTAGGTCTTATTTGAGCGGAAGCAGATGCAATATGAATTAAACAATCAAAAATAGAAAATTGTTTTCACACATCTTTTATTGTTAAGGACTCATTTTCTAGTTTATTCAAGATGAATTTGTACGTTGTCTTAATATAATATTTTTTAAAAGTTGCAATTATGCCTTGATCTAATGGCTGAATAAGGCTTGTTGTATTGGGCGGAAGAAATACTAGTTGAACATTTGGATGTTCTAATTGTGGATGATTTGCTGCATTGTCAACAATTAATAAAACTTTAAAATCGAGAGATTTTTCCTTCATATAGGCTTCCACTTCTGGTACGAAACAATTATTGAACCATTCTGTAAAAATAGCTGTTGTCATCCAGGATTTCAGGTTAGCCATCCAATTCACGGACAGTTGTTTTAAATCTTTATCTTTAAGGGCGCGTGGTCTAAGAGATTTATTTATTAAGAGAGGTTTCAACATCCGATCTCCTGATGCATTGCTACAAAGCAATAAGGTGACTCGATCTTTACTTGCTTTATGTCCACTTGCAGTTTTTTCATCCTTTGCGATGTAAGTACGGTTAGGCATTTTTTTCCAATAAAGTCCTGTTTCATCAGCGTTAAATACTTGATCGGCAGAATAGTCCCCATCTTCAATAATTTTCGCTAGCTCCTCTGGAAATATTTTTGCTGCTCCTTCATCTGCTGTCGCACTCTCCCCTGTTATCTTAATATTATGAAGTGCATTTCTTTTTAAGAACCTGGTTAGCCACCCTTTGCTAGCTGAAAATTCTTTTCCAGCTTGGGAAGCGGATTGATTGATTGATTTAATATTAACGTCGCACTGTTCAGCTACACGAGGGCTTTTGGCGACGGACCACGTAATTTTGAACCATGGTCAAGTGACTGGACGACACCGAGCTGGCACCCCCTCTCCTAACTTTTTCGACAGATTTAACGTGCATCGCTGCCCCCTACACGGCGGGTCTTTAGTGGTACTGGGATCGAACTCGTGACCAGGCAAGCCACAATCCGATACCTAGCCACCTTGGGAAGTGGAAGTTGATGGTTCTGACTGTTTTTGACTTATAAAACTTAAGAGCTTTTCTTGGATTAAATAACCACTTACAGGAATTCTTCTTTGAACTTGTTCCTCAATCCAAATTGTGATGGCTCTTTCCGTTCTTTCTAATAATACATCCCTTGTGTACGATGCAAATTTGGTGCTTAATTTTGTACCAGAAATGACTGATTTTCTTATTGCAGCTTCATTTATTTTTAATTGCTCTGACAGTAGATTCACCTAAATTAAAATGTTTTCCAATAGTCGTAGATCCTTCTCCTTTTCCTAAGCAATCTAAAATTGCAATTTTCGTTTCCAACGAAATTGACTGTCTTTGATGTTTTTTTCCTCTCCATTGGGCCAAATAAAATCTTACAAAAGAAATTTTAAAAAATTACACTTACGATTTTCTAATGAAAAATAAAACTTTACGACACTCACTTTAAATCCAGAAATCAAAATTTGTTGCTTATTATATTGCAACTTAAATTTGCCACTTATTAAAGTGAAACTTTTATAAAAATGAACCAGGCACCGCTAAAAGAAAATATAATTTCGAAATAATGATATCGTAACGGTATACTACTGAAATAACGAATGCGAATCTAAGACTGTCGCAGCCGAGCCGCAGACGTAAGCACCAAAAAGATACGGAAATTCTCGGAATACTACGATCTACGTCTCAGTATAAAAAAAAATAATAATAACAAAAATCTAGAAATGTGTGGAATACAAACCACACAACTTCAAAATCGCATAAAAAGAGACCTGACTGTATACTAATTTCTTCAATTATGTATTATCCTATTTTAAAGTTCAATCCTATTTTATATAGTTCTCACTCTCTCTACTTTTAAAAACATTATAATTTTTTAAACTGCTTAAAAAAAGCACATTATACTACACAAACACACTTTAAACTTACTAATGGAAAATCTAAAATTACATTTATAATCTTGGACAAATTTATTTGTCTTAAAAAGTTCATACACACTTACCTAAAGTATCAGTTTCATTATATGATTGACTATCAAGCTCAGCAAATGGTCCATATACAGGAAGAACTACATAAACACATAAAAAAAATACTTTTAAGTATTTATAATGTATCATATAAAAAACCAATTAATAAGGACTTAAAATCTTAAAAACTAATACATCAAAATATACTGTAACAAATTCACAAAAGAAAAGGTATAGGTACTTTATAGCTATCTTGCCTTTAAAATCACATAAATTTTGATAAATGTTTAATTAAAATTTTTTTGTGGTGAATTCAAGATATACAAAAGTGTTCATAATTCAAGGAATAACAGCTCATTTAATAAACATGAAGTAATGTATAATTCTTTGTGTATATTTCAGTTCACTTTTAAAAACATACACAATACAAAAAATTAATATATTAAGTTTTCTTTTAAGTTTTTAACAAACAATTTAAAACTATAACTTTTTTAATTATGAGTTATGAATCTCCCATATAATTGTATAGGTTGTACTTTGTCAAGTAAAATGCAAGAAAACTTTTCAAATAAGGTTTTAACTTTCACATTCGTGACTGTTAGGTACATCATTTTCAACTCATTGAGTTGTTATTGGTGCATTTATAAAGTGTGCAAAAATTAAGAGTGGTTGGTTTTTAAGTGAGATGTGAAATAAATGGCAGAATACAATGAAATTTGGCATAGTTAGTTGCATAACACTATTACAATAAAGAATGTACAAAAAAATATATTGCTTGATTTATATAAATGACCGAAAAAAATAAATAATAAAAGTTCACTGTGTAAAAAGAAAACTGCTAAAACAATCTAGTACAGAGTGAATCACTTATTAGTACAATAAAACTATACAAGCATTACAGTGTCAACAAAGAAAATTTTTATTTTAGCAACTTTTTATTAAATAATTACAATTAATATAAATATGTATATACATATGACAGAATCGCAATATTAATAAGTGCCAAAATAGAAAGCGATTTTCCTTGCAATTTTCCATTCTATATATGGTGTTGGACTATTATTTTTTTTGTTACTATTTATTCAATAATTAAATTGATTTATTCCAATAAAATAGAAAATAAAAAGAAGTCACATTCTCAGAAATTAAGTCATCACAGCTGGAATTCGAAACCATGACCTTTGGATTAGAGGTTCAACATGCTATCCATTGCACTACAGGGACACAACGACTGATTTTCCTATTTATATATGGTGTTGGACTATTATTTTTGTTTGGTACTATATATTCATTAATTAATGAATTAATATTTGAAAAAACAGTATTAACATCAAGTGTCATCTACTAAATAAATATATATATAGAGAGAGGGAACTAATAGTAGGAATTGAAAAAGAGGATGGTTTGTCTGCATTGTTGTAACACTGCACACCCAGTTTGGCTGAAAAACTGGTTTTCACTACCAACTTTAGTCATTGCCTTAACAGTTACACTGTTACAATAATAGAGACGAGTCTAAGTTGGCATTAAAAACTAGTAATTTAATTTAATTAATGAATTAATATTTGAAAAAATTGTGTTAACATTAAGTGTCATCCACTATAAGTTTTAAAAAATTTATTTGAAATTGTTTGGATGAATAGAAAGCATTTTATTAATGACTGAAAATTTGAACGATATATATATATATATCTTGTTCAAATTATTCATTAATAAAATTCATAGCTATGTCTTTAAAGATCTTTTCAATTCTATTAATATCAATGATATTATTAAAGTAATATTAGAAAATCACAGGAATAAAAATCTTAATATTAATTTCAATAAATTTAAAACTCTTATAGATTTAGTCCTAAAAGAAAATTAAATTAATTTTAATGGTTCATTATATAAACAAACTAAAGGTTTGCCTCAAGGTGGCCCTGCTAGCAATAGTTTGGATAACTAATACTTACATTTTTATTAACATAATTAATATTAATAATAATGATTATTACAATTTTAGATACATTGATGATCTAATCATTTTTGGTAAAAATAATAATTTAAACCCCAATATTAATTTTTATCCTGGTTACTTAAACCTAGTTAAAACTAATCATAATCCAATTAAAACTAATTACTTAGATGTATCATTGTATATTAAGGATTATAAATTACATAGTAATATTTTTGATAAAAGATATGCTTTTAATTTTAAATTCTTAAAGTGCTATACTGGAATTCAAATTTATCAATCTATATATATAGAAATATTATTTTTAACTATATTTATTGTAATAATGTAAACGTTAGTTAGTGATAAATGTAATATATATTTAAACTTTAATAACTTTATTAAACAATGTATTGAACATGGATATCTTGCAAACCTTCTTTACAATTATATTTCTAATAGTTCTCAGTGAAATGACAAAATGTATTAATAATAGTATTTTTAATTAATTATACAGTTATTCAATAGATGATGCCACATGTTTCATAAAAATTAATATATTTTATTTAAATATTCTTGTGTATGTCTTGAAGTCTTATTTTCTATAAAATTTTATATCAATATTTGTGGTTTTTTAAATGTACATATAGATTTAATATCATTCAATCATAATTTACCAATTTTACTTTTATGTAGTACTGCTTTTACTCAGTTGTATTTGGCGGGAAACATAGCATGTTGCTATACTCACGAAGTAAGTCACCATCTACTTTATTGCATTAACTTTAAATTTATACAACTAAATACTAGTAGGCTATAATTTTATATCGTTATATTTTAATAGTATAGTGTATTTTATTTGTAATATTTAAATTTCTCCTAATATAGGGTGTTTTTTTAGAGGTATAGAACTTTAAATTGCAATAAAACAACGATGTATTATTCGATTGACATGAATTTTTTTTCTTCGAAAGATAATCTTGTGGAATTACATTTTAAATAAGATTTCTGGCATATGACTGCCACGGCTGGCTCGGATGTAGTCCAATCTGGACGTCCAATTTTCGATGACTTTTTCCAACATTTGTGGCCGTATATCGGCAATAACACGGCGAATGTTGTCTTCCAAATGGTCAAGCGTTTGTGGCTTATCCGCATAGACCAATGACTTTACATAGTCCCACAGAAAATTGTCTAGCGGTGTTAAATCACAAGATCTTGGAGGCCAATTCACAGGTCCAAAACGTGAAATTAGGCGGTCACAAAACGTGTCTACATCAATTGTGGCACGAGCTGTGTGACATGTTGCGCCGTCTTGTTGGAACCACAGCTCCTGGACATCATGATTGTTCAATTCAGGAATGAAAAAGTTAATAATCATGGCTCTATACCGATCACCATTGACTGTAACGTTGTGGCCTTCATCGTTTTTGAAGAAGGATTCCACCAGCCCATAAAGCGCACCAAACAGTCAATTTTTCTCGATGTAACAGTGTTTCGACATACATTTGTGGATTAGCTTCACTCCAAATGCGGCAGCTTTGTTTGTTAACGTAGCCATTCAACCAGAAGTGCGCTTCATCGCTAAACAAAATTCGTTCTTTCCTTTCCCTTTGGATCAGTAGTATAGGCAAATTACAGGTGAAGGTTGGCTAGCCCTGAAACTTTGTTTAAACCTGCAATCTTGGTTCCTAAGGCCAGGAGTTTGTTATTGTACTACTGTGGAAAATATTTCCTACTATCTTGACTAGTTATACTAGGTTTTATAGCTATTTGTATATATTTATGGTTTATATATATATGTGTGTGTATAAATAAATATATATAGGGAAAGTGAGCTAATAAAAGGAATTGAAAAAAGAGATAAGCATAAAAAGAATTAGACTTCTACTTATATTGAAATATTGTTTATTTAAAAGAAATGGCATTCCTTACAAACTTAAAGGTTTCTACTATTATTTCTGATGTTTGGGATAATACCTCGAATAAATGTCTTTAGAACATAAAGTGTTGTACACATACATTTTTTTCATAAAAATGGGGGGGACACAGCGAATATATCTAAAAATAAAAAAATGCACTTGAAAGTATAGGAGCGCATTATACAACAGATTTTATAGTATATCAGATTCTGCCACTGCTGCTGCTGAATGATTTTTGAGCTGAGAAACGCTCTTTGGTGGAGACTGATGAGCTGAAAACTTTCATTCAAGTTATCCTAAACATGCTCAATTGGATTTAAGTCAGAAGATGTTAATAGCCATTGCAAGCGATTGATGCCTTCCTTTTCAAGATAATTAGAAAATCTATGTATTGTGATCAGTTTGGCATCATGGTACATAAATAGAAAACAGTTCACCGGAAAAGACAAACATGAAGAGTTCAAAAACCTGATCTCTGCACCTAGTCCCAATAATGGAAACCCCTTCAGAAACATGAAGGAATATATGTTTAAAAGATATTATAACTGCCACATCAAAATGCCACCATTGTGATACTAATATTCTTGGTTGGAATTATGAGACAATAATTTATTCCACATTGTCTACAGATTATGCTGCAATGCGAGTCACTCTATTAATTAAATCATGGTTCAAAAACGGATTGCTCAGTTTTAAACTATTTAGTTCCCATTTTCTTGATGCAATTGAAAATGTATCATCTTTTGCACATCTAACACACAGACCACTTTCTTCACATTTTCTGCAATTGTTTGCTTAGATTCAATAGCACCTGGCAAACAGTTGCGAAGAAACCTTGAAAAAAAGCTGACTAGTTAGCTCACGTAGCTAAAAACAGAAATTACCTTGTCTAGTTGTTACTCTTGAATTAATCCTGCATATACAGTTTAGAAACTATGCACTGCACAGCATTTAGATATTTCTGTTCATGATCATCCCCTTACTAACATTTTAATGATTCTGAATTCTAAAGATAAGTTTATTAGTCTTTTCCAGCCATAATTAACATTTTTATAATTTGAATACACACAAGCTCATTCATATATAAACCATAAATGTGAATGTACATTCACATTACTTGCAGCATTTTCATTGTCCTATTAAATCACTGACAAAATATATCGCTTGCAAAATATATCACTTGCAAAAATATATCTCTATTCATTAATATAAATAAACAATCTGAGTAATTTCAGGCATATCTTTCATTTGACCTTTTCATGTAATTTTTTTTAAAAACAAATACATAAAGAACAAGGTCTTCAAAGAATAATTTATTAAAATTAAAATTAATATGCACTTTTATTTAAAATTTAAGTACCAGAGAATATTAGGGATCCCCTGTAAATTTAGGTTTTGGATCCCCAGCCACATCGTAGAAAGAATATGTTTTTGGTGTTAGTCAGGCTTTGCCCCTCCCCCATGATGTGGGAGTGTACATTAATCAACTGAAGCAAAACACGATAAATTTATTATCTTCACAAAACTAACAATTTGAAAAGATATCTACATATATCAACAAATTCAGAAAAATAAAAGACATTTATCTATTTTTAATGTTAATTTTATCAGTTAATTAAAAATCAATGTTATGTAAACAATAATGAACAAAAGATCATGAAGGCAGAGTTATATTTTAAAAAATTAGAATTAAAATTGAACAATACCTGAGTCATCATTATCAATGGATGGGATATCAAATGGATCTGGAGAATTATTTATGTCAGAAAAACACTCCATCATGGTATTTGAACTATTAAATACATTATCTTGACAAGTGTTTAAAATCTCCAAATTTCCCAAAGTGGTAAAGTCAGTGGCCATATTTTTATCATTGATTATCTCATCATTGCTGCTAAAACAAGCAAGAAATGTAAAATTATCTGAAAATGATACATTTGTTTGGCACTCATGTATTATCGCAACAATTGACAACTTTATTAATAAATCGCCAATTTGGAAACCCTTATTTCCTATGCATTGTATGCACTGAATTGACAACCAGGTGCTTTGTTTCATATAATATCACCAATAGGTTGCGATAATACATAAGTACCATTTGTTTTTTATAAACAGTATTATAAAAAACTGAAAGTGCAATATTTTTATGTATGACTTACATAATATTTTGCACACAGCAGTTAACCCTTAACTTTGCACTGTTGCATTTCTGCAACATATGATTTATTTTAATTTAACAGACTCAATATATTTTTAATTACCTACAAATCTCTAATCTGAGAAAAAAAAAGATTACTGCAATGAAATACATGCTAATTTTGTCACTAGATGGAAGTACATTTTTTCCAGAAATCACAACAATTATA